GAATGGAATGGTGCCAGATGACAGAGGAAAGGAGGCAGAGAAGATTGTATTGAATCTTAAAAGCTGTCACAGTGATAGAAAAGACTTCATTTATGTGGGTTTTATTAAAGAAAACTAATCATGTAGTGTACTGTTTTTTCCTCAAATACTTGTTCTAAAATGTTCTAATTTTAAGAATCTTAAAAGAAATTCTGTTACCAGTAGTCTTTGTACTTTCTCTGTCTCTCCTCTATCTCCTCGGAATTGCACTGCCCATCACTGTGAGAAATTTGGTAATACTCACTTTTAATAATAATCTTTGTATTAGCTATGTTGCCATACAAATTAATGATTATCTGTTCTTCCAGATGTGGTCCCTATTTTGGAAGGAAATTATTTTGATGGCCCATGACCAAACTCAGGTTTTAAACTCATGAATAAATTCAAGGCTCTCAATTACAAATTCATTCTCTTTACCCCAAGTGGTCCTTCTTACCACTCATCCATTTTCACTAATAGCACCATAATATTTCTCTAAATGACTTCTTGACTGATTTAAAGAGAATTCTGCATGCTAGCTTTTTGGTTCTTTGCTTTTTCAATCTAATTTGTTCTATGTTACCTATATACTTTTTTTTTAAGATTTATTTTTTTTATTGGAAAGGTGGATATACAGAGAGGAGAGACAGAGAGGAAGATCTTCCATCTGATGATTCACTCTCCAAGTGAGCGCAACGGGCCGATACTATGCCAATCCAAAGCCAGGAGCTCTTTCGGGTCTCCCACGCGGGTGCAGGGTCCCAAAGCCTTGGGCCATCCTCGACTGCTCTCCCGGGCCACAGGCAGGGAGCTGGTTGGGAAGTGGGGTGGCCGGGATTAGAACCAGTGCCCATATGGGATCCGGGGCGTGCAAGGCGAGGACCTTAACCACTGTGCCACCGCGCCAGGCCCTACCTATATACTTCTAAGGTTGAATTAATGTTTCTTTGTAACATAATCTCCAGCTCAGAACCTTCATGTCAGAATTATGCTGGATTGCATCAGGTCTGTGGCAATTTTCCTGGAAGCTCCCACTGTATCTGGGATCCTAGCAATAACCTAGACATAGTACTTTTGTGAACCCCTTGAATATACACATCCCTCCACAAAAGTGCCCCCTCTCCTCTTTGTGCAGATCAGTGAAGTACTGTTTCATGTAGTGTTACTTGATTGGAAGATATTTAGTGTGGAAAAAGTAAAACAGTCCTAAATGATGAGTAAACATCATTGTTAAATGTTGCTAATTTATTAATATTATTAATTGACGGGAAGAATTTTTTCTTTTACAAATCTTATAATAATATATGAGCATGTGAACATATGACTAGGATTCTCTTCTGGGCCTTTGATCCAATACCAGTGGAGGACCCTAAAGTTTAAGCTTTCTTAGTTTCATGATAAGCCAAGCCTCTGTTCAGCACACCTCAAGTGATTGCTCTTAGATAGGAAAAAGGCAAGCACAGATTAATCCCTTTCATCAAAGCCACCATAGGGAATGCAGTCTAAACACATCGTAATATGTTCTGAAGAAAAATTAGTAAGCAATCATACAAACTTTCTATCCCCAAAGAGCTTTACATCTGGTTACTGAGAAGTTCCATGGCTGTTAACAGGTAAATTAAGATTTGAATACTTTTGTAAGGGAAAGGGCATGTAAATAGCTTCACTAAGACTCCTATAGGCTCTGAGTTTAACAACACTTTCATGTACTGCAATCCCCCTGCTGCTCTTTTTGCTTTATTATATCAGGATATAATCATGCTATTATTTCTCCCATTAAAAAAAGACATTTTTGTGGATCTATTATTATGTTTCTTCTTTTTTAATGCAAGATTTATTGATACGATTGGGTTAGGTTCACTTTTTCCATTTTGTTCTTCCCCTCTTGACCCCATTCTAATCAGACTTTTTCTCACACCGTTGAACACAACAGCCTGCATGTGTGTCACCACTGACCTCACTGATAAGTCCAGTGGTCAGTGTTCAGGCAGCATCTTCACATAATAAATGTTAGTTAATCATTCTCTCTACCTTAAAATATATCATTTGGATTCTAGATCACTACACTGTTCTGATTTTCTTCCTATCTTTCTAGCGATTGCCAGAGTACTCTCTTCTCATTTTACTGAACCTAATACAGTGCCCGAAGAAGGACCGGTTAAACATTTTTTTGCTGTTGTCTTTATTTTGAAGACATGAATGAAATCAGCCTGTCGTATGATCTTAAATGCTCTTTATAACCCGAGGAGCATATGTTAATGTTTATATTCTGAATATTGCCCCCAGTTCCCTCACAGTTGCCTAGCCTATTTATTGTCCACTTCAATGGCTAATAAATCTCAAAATTAGCATATCCACAACTAAGCTCCTGATATTCATCTCTTTTCTGTCCTGGTCTTTCCCATAGCCATGCAATAACATTTCAGTTCTTCTCAGATCAAAATCATTGACATCATATGTTAGCCTTATCTGTTTGTTAAACTTTAAATCAAACTTAGTAGTAAATCCTTCTGATCCTCACAGTGTATTTAGAGTTGGACATTAATGATAGAGGTTCAAGCAAACCTCTATCCATTTCTCACATGGGTTATATGCTGGCCTCTTCACTGCTGCTGCTTTTTGTTGCCTTCCCTTAGACTATACCCAGCCATAGATGTGATCCTATTAAATGGTAGTAAGATCATATCATTTCTATTCTCAAAATCTCACCACCTCTTAGAGCAAGTAAAACTCTAAGTCTAGCACCACTTTTATGTTGCTGATCTCATTACCTGTAAGTCTTTTGTGTTCTAAAAAGTAAGGACTTGCCAAGATTCTGAGATTTTACTAGACTCACAAGTTAATAAAGTTAGATTGCTAGTTTCATGAAGGTTGATAGAAGACATGAGATTTCTGAAAATTGAAAGATAATTTTTCATTGATAACATAGAATGTCATTATTCTGATCTAGTCTTCTAAGAACCAATTTTGAAAGAATGATACAAAGAATCCTTTCATCCTGTAGTAGTGTGCTTGGGCTCCCACAGCCGAATAGCACAAACTGTATGGGTTGCACAACAGAAATTTATTTTCTTGTAATTCTAGAAACTTGCAAGTCTGGCATCAAGGTACCAAAAAGGTTGGGGTCTAGTGCAGGTTTTCTCTGTGGATCACAAGTGGCTGCCTTCTTGTTACAGGTTCACATAACCCTTCTTTGGTATACAAATGGAAATACTTTCATTTAACTGGTACTTCAGTTGTCATTCAAAAGTATCTAAACTGAAAACTTGATCTTCAAGGTCTTATATTAATGGTTACAGATTAGAAATGGAAATTTAATACAGTCATGGTATCTGCAGGTGGGGCTTTGGAAAGTGATGAGAGTTGATTGTTCTGGTGGTGCCTGTACATTTGAAACATGGTGGCGTGGCTTTGTAAATAGAAGCTACATTGACCCAGATGTTTATCAATTACACATGATTCTAATAAATCATTCTTCATTGCTATTGGCAGTCTTTGATATTCATGGAATATTGGGCAACTTCAATTTTCTGTCATTTTTGTTGTGGCTTGTACCTTGACCCATGGACTGAAGCACCTGAGCTCTATTCTATCTTCTTCAGTTACCCTAGGACATTCAAAGGCTTCTTTTAAAGTTTGCTTAAAAACACAGCTTAGAAGCACCAGCACCATGGCATAGAAAGCTAAGATTCTGCCTGCAAATCCAACATACCATATGGGTACTGGTCTGTATCCTGGCTGCTCCACTTTTCGATCCAGTTCCCTGCTTATGTCCTGGGAAAGCAGAGGAAGATGCCTAAGCCCTTAGACTCCTGCCCAAGAAGAACCTCCCAGAAGAAGCTCCTGGCTTCAGATGGGCTTAGCTCCAGCCATCATGGCCATTTGGGGAATGAACCAGTAGATAGAATATTCTCTTTTTCTCTTTCTCCCTTTTCCTTCTCTCCCTTCCTTCCTCTTCCTCCCTCTCTCTGTAACTCTGCCTTTCAAATAAAAAGTAAAAAAATTTTTTAAAAATCAGATCATCCAAATATGTATTCTCAATCTGATAAATTTTTAAGTGCTTTGAATTATAGGTAAACTAAATTCTAAATGGAATGTATTTTTAGTTATCACTCTTTTCATATCTGTTGAGGCAGATCAGTTCGGATTTACTTAGGATCACTCAACATGATATAAATGAACAAAGGGGGAAAAAGGAATAGTGGGGTGCTCATTAGAGCAGAGTTTAGAAATAGCCATAGATCAGATTAGCTCAAGTTATTTCCTAAACTTTGTAGTGTACTGTCCTCCAAGTCTGGTAAAAATCTCTCATAGGTAATGATCTGGCATGGATAACCAACCTTGGAAAATGGAGGTGAGTAAACACCTTTTCTATATACAGATGCATAAGCCTGTGCAAGAGCTGACACTAATTTTTTTATTTACTAGCATATTGAAATTTCATGAAGTTTGTTGCGAGTACTTAATTTCAGGAGAAGAAAATTTTTTTTCTAGCAAATGAACTTGTGAAATAAGGAATGCAGTCAGATTTAGTGATTATTTTCAGTTGGACTATGTATCATTTCAATAAGTGAAGATTATACATTGTTTTAAATTTGCTTTTACAAATACTTTAATGGATACCAATCAGTAACTGGAAAACTCTGGTTTAGGAATCAGGACACCTGAAATCAAGGCCATACTTAGCGACTATCTTCCTGTGTGACCTGGCCTAAATCAATCCTCTTTCTGGGTCTTGTTTACTCACTAGAAAAATGAAACAATTTAACAAGCCAATATATTAGGCTCTTTTTAAGCCCAAACATGCTAAACGTTCAAGGTATTGAAACAGGTATATTCACAAATAAACTGATTGGTATATTTTTATGCGACATCAAGACTATGAATTTAAATTATTATAATAAAACCCTTATTGTCCATAGATAAGTTGCAGTTGTTTTCAAAAGGCTTTCACATGCCAGTGATGGAAATTGTTTTTATAGGTACATTCCTCTCATTGAAAGGAGCTGTGCTAACTTTCTCCTGTATGGACCGAACTGGAGGATTAATGCAACCACCATATGAAGTTTGGAGGGATCCAAACAGCATGGATGAAAATGAAAAATCCTGGAGAAGGAAACTGGTCATGAACTCCTCCTCTGCAAACCAAGAAATAGGAGATCATCAGTATATAATAATATGCTCTGAAAAACAAGCCAAAGTCTTCTCACTGCCTTCTCAGACTTGCCTTTATGTTCATAACATCACTGAGACATCTTTTATATTGCAGGCAGATGTGGTGGTCATGTGTAACAGTGCCTGCTTGGCATGCTTTTGCGCTAATGGGCATATTATGATAATGAGGTATGTTCCTTCTTTAAAAAAATATTTTAGTAATCATGGCAATGCCAGCAAGTTACAATTCTGAAAAGTCTGTATAATGTGCAAGATGTTAAGATATTAAGAAAATTGAATGTTTCTTTATGTTTGTGAATGCAATATGAGGTGAATTTGTTCATAATTTGGCTTTTGTTTTGGTGGGGATGTGTGTGTGTGTGTGTGTGTGTTTGCTGAAAATATTTGGCATTGTGAATGAACTATGTATTTCAGTTGATGCCAAAAAACTTATGAAAATACTGCTTCTCCAGTCACTCACATATTTTTGTTCAAAAAGCACTTGCTTAATAGATTTAATCTCTCCGAAGTTATGCTGTCCACCTAGGAGTAAGCAAGCAAAAGAATCATCACTTTCACAGTACATACAAGGATTTTACATACAGAACTTCATTCGATCCAATAGCCTCTCAGGACATGGGAAAATTTAGTATGACTTGCATCCTCCATTTTAGATCTATTAATAAATCAAAGTTAACCAAGTTGCCAAAGGTTGTAAATTTAGGGGGGAAAAAATGGCACCTAACAAGGTGCCAGCCAATAGATTTCATTCCACTGTCACTGCAATCAAATGAGACTTGTGAGACTTTTGAGAAAATATTACCTTTTGATTTTATGAATTCAGCAAATAGTTCATAATATTTTGTACAACTCACTGCCATTCTTTCAAAAATCTCACCTAGTTCTCAAATAACATGATTAAGCATTGAGAAAACCTGTGAATGATATAAAAAAGATAGTAAAACCCTTAAGGAGATTAGACTGGTATACAAATAACTGTAAGCAAAGAGAATGCAAACTCCAGTAGAGGAACTACACAAGTGTGATTTGGAGTCAAAAACTGTTAGTCTTGAACACTTTCGTCTTAGCTCCTAGTTTGATAGATTGCAGAGTGGCTAAGGACTGCTTCGGCCATGTAATGCCCAGTCTTAGAAAACCCAGTTTGAGAGTAAATAGAAGAGACTTTCCTGTGTGCAAATTCTCAAACTGTGCTCAACCAACCACTTTCAGTGAGAAACACCATTAGCTAACTGTCCATATTTCTTTATAAAATGTCCCTGCATAGAAAAAACATTTTTATCAATTGTTAAAGCAATCATTTCTCAGCCATTAGCAACTAGCTCCCTTGCTTTTCCCAACTGCAATGATAGCACCTGCTTTTCTTATCTGAACATTTCACAACATGGGGTGAGTCTGAAAAAAAAAAATCACTGGAACCTCTTTACCAATGCCAGCCACTGATTTAAAAAGAATCCACAAAATAAATTTGTTTAAATGGGTTTGTTTTGGATTCATGAGATACTTTAACAGATCATAATAAATATCTGTTTATTCCTACAACAGCATTTAAAATCCAATGTGGAATTTACTCTTACACTGCATAGCTGTTCAGACTAGTTCATGTCAGTTGCTCCATGGCCAGGAGTAGTTAGGCTACCAGATTGGGTAGCACAATGCTAGAAGGTCATGGAAAGGTTGTTCTTATAGCACACAGTAGAGTTTCATAGGCACAAACTACTCTGATAAAAGAAATCAGGTTCTGGTTGTTTTTTTTTTAATGGTTTGAAATAATTTACCATCATTGTGCACACTCATAATCACTAAAACAATTTCATAACTGACAGTTAAATTACATGGGCCTTTTTCCCCTTGGCATTAGAAGTGTGATTTTTAAAAATTAGTAACAATAGTTTTGCTTTGGTAGTTCATAAACGTGGCATTAATGAAAATATCCAAAAGGACATTCTGATGGCTATTTTAGCAAAAGTATTACCTATGACATTAAGATAAGCATATTTTGGTGTAAGATCGTTCAGATGTCTAGTACTCATTTGGATGTACAATTTCTAATCTATTATTTATAACTCATTCCCTTACAGCCTTTGCTATTTCACAGTTAATCATGTTTCAGTGTAGGTTCTCTAAATTATATGCAATTTTCATTTCCTGGGTTAGAGAGAATAAGGAATGGCCACTCCATGCTTAGACACAGTGGACTGGACCCCCTCCAGGACTCTGCCAGGATATGACCTCCTCAGACTCAAACATTTTATCTTAAAGAAAGATTAAGTTTTAATAGACACTTTCTGGCTGTGATGTTGGTGACATAACCAGAAGTTGTTCTAGCAACCTGTGACATGCTGTAAAATTGTCCCTGAGATTGCTAGCTAATGCATCTATCCCTTAAAGATATTTGCTAAGCACCAGTGAGGATTAATATAAAAGACCTGGCCCATGATCATGATTTTTTGTTACTTTGTGAAACTATCACTACTGAGCCTTCAAGTGAACAAAAACAACCATAAAATAATAGTAAAGCAGTTGTTGTTTTACATAAGGATCAGTGTCTAACAGCTTTGATGTGAAATGCACATTTACTCTTTTCTGTTCAGCCTACCTAGTCTTCGACCAATGTTGGATGTTAATTATCTACCACTGACAGACATGCGGATAGCACGGACATTTTGTTTCACCAATGAGGGGCAGGCCTTATATCTTGTCTCCCCTACTGAAATTCAGCGGTTAACCTACAGCCAAGAAATGTGTGACAATCTACAGGTATGTCAGATATACTTATGATAAAACATTATATATGGCTATTAAAAAACAGAATGAGAGTTGCCTAAAAGTTAAAGTACTATGAGATCGTACAACAAATACACTCTTGGTTCATGTTTTGAACATATTTTCTTCATTGTGATGCTGTGAATTCTTGTTTAGTTCTAGGTAAAGAGAATGTTAAACATTATTTATAAAATAGTCTTGTTGTTATACTTTTTTCACACTTGGAAAATCTTCCAAAAGATTGCAGAGTTTCTCCTGGGGAGAAATGTCTATGCACACATCTTGGATGCAATGAGGGAATGCATAGACTTTTCTGAAGAAACCTTAATTTTGATTAGGATCGACACTAATAAATATATTTGCTTGAGGTAAGACTGGGTATTTGAATTTGACCATGGTGATAAGAATAGCCTAGAAACAGGATAAAAGTCTGTCAAATTTGAGTAAGAATGGTCACAACATTTTTAAATATCTCAGATTTAATTAGTCCAAGTCTCATTTCACGGATGCCAAAACTAAAAATAATATAATACAGAGATTAAGAGAAAAGGCTCTGAAGTACAAGGGCTCTTCAGCAAATTCAAGAAAGATTTCTATTATGAAAAAAATTACCTATAGATTTTTTACAAAAAAAACTTTTGTGTGAAACTTATGTCTTAATTACATTTTCACTGAACTCTTTGAAGTGTCTTCTTAGTTGAGCTGTGTTTGGCTCCTCCATTTGTGATTGGACATTTTTCTTAATCTATATACTTAGCATATCTATACTATCTATACGTACTCTGCTTTTTGCAACATTGTTAGAAGAAATAAGAATTTACGTAAAACACTGAACATGGTAAGGTGTTTTTTGTTTAACACAAATTGCGATAATGCTATCTTTTTTAAAAAAGATTTGTTTATTTTATTGGAAAGGCAGATGTGCAGAGAGGAGAGACAGAGAGGAAGATCTTCCATCCGATGGTTCACTCCCCAAGCGGCCACAACAGCTGGTGCTGTGCCGATCCGAAGCCAGGAGCCAGAAACTTCTTTCAGGGTCTCCCACGCGGGTGCAGGGTCCCAAGGCTTTGGGCCATCCTCTGCTGCTTTCCCAGGGCACAAGCAGGGAGCTAGCTGGGAAATGGAGCTGCCGGGATTAGAACTGGCACCCATATGGGATCCTGTGCATTCAAGGCTAGACCTTAACCATTACACTATCTCTCTGGGCCTGATAATGCTATCTTGAAAATTGGTGTTCAACAAATATTTCGGAGGTTTTTACTGAGTGCCTTAAACTTGGCCAATTTCTAGCAATAAAATGATAAATAAGTTACAAGATCCTATTGGCTGTGGAAAACAAATTAAACAAGTTAACCACAGCAGTCTGTGGGGAATGTTCAACATGGCTATTATACCAAGGCTAGGGAGACACCCGGGCTGGTGGAGAAGGGTTAGGGGCACTGCTGATATCTGATGGTTCCACAGAAATGACTCAGGTGGAGGGAGGCTTCGACATGGACAAGTAGAGCTAACCTACACAAAATTGGTGATGCACAAAATGCTCAGAGTGCAGAACAGTTCAAAGCTAGGAAGACTATAGGGATAGCAACACAAATTTACTTAAAATAGATGTTGGAATTTTTTATAAACTTAAAGAAGCCAGTAAGGCAGTAGGAAATCATTGACAAGTTTGGGCAGATTTTTTTTTATTCTTATTAAAGCAGTATTTTTGTTTGCAGTGCAGTAGCTGGTTTTGAGCAAAGACTGAAGATAGTGAAAAAATTAGGAGGCTTTGTAAAATAATTAAGACTGAAAATACTAGGGACCTGAAGGAAGGGCACCAACCGTGAGGCTGGAGAAAGTGAGCTGATTGAACAGTTATGTGGTGGAATCAGCTGGGTTTGGGGATTATTGGGAGTAAGGTAAAAGACGGAATTGATGATTACTGAGGTTCTCACTTGGGGGACTGAAGAGATGGTGCTGCCAATTCCAAACAGAAGGGCTTTAAGAAAAAGACCACAGGCTGTGGGTAGAGGTAACGGGAGATGAAGCTTAAATCCTGCTGGAAGGTAACAAGTAAACTAATAGATCACAGATCTAAGTTCCTTCCCCCATTCTGATGCTTTGTAATTTTGATTTATTTTAGAAAGACATAAAAAGAAAGGTCTTATAAAAATATAGATCCTAGCATAATTGCATTGATTCTGATTTAGTTTGTGAGGCATTTGACCTGAACATTATCAGTTCTTCCTTTGAAGATTTATTTATTTGGAAGGCAGTTACAGAGAGGGAGAGAAAGAGATCTACCATCTGCTGCTTTACCCTCCAAGTAGCCACAATGGCCACAGCTGAGAAAACCTAAAGCCAGAAGCCAGGAGCTTCCTCCAGGCCTCCTACATGGGTGCAGTAGCCCAAGGTCTTGGGCCATTTTTTGCTGCTTTCCCAGGGGCATTAGCAGTGAGCTGGATGAGAAATGGTGCCCATGTGGGATGCTGGGCTGCAGGTAGCAGCTTTTCCTTCTGCACCACAGAGCACCAGCCCTGAAGACCAGCATTTTTTTTTTAAAGATTTATTTTTATTATTTTTTCATTGGAAAGGCGGATATACAGAGAGGAGAGACAGAGAGGAAGATCTTCCGTCCGATGATTCACTCCCCAAGTGAGCACAACGGGCCGATACTATGCCAGTCCGAAGCCAGGAGCCTCTTCCGGGTCTCCCACGCGGGTGCAGGTTCCCAAAGCTTTGGGCTGTCCTCGACTGCTTTCCCGGGCCACAGGCAGGGAGCTGGAAGGGAAGCGGGGCTGCCGGGATTAGAACCGGCACCCATATGGGATCCCGGGCGTGCAAGGCAAGGACCTTTAACCACTTGCGCCACTGCGCCGGGCCCCGAAGACCAGCATTTTTAATGACATTTATTCAGTCCTCTTAAGACTCACCAAATATTGGGAACAACTATACCTTATCATTCAGTAGCTACTTATTTTAACTCATTTAAATAATTTTGAACCATTACATAATTATTCAGAGAAGAGAACCAGTATAAGAACGATGCTGTGGGGCTGGCACAGTGGTATAATAAGCTAATCCTCCACCCATGGCACTGGCATCCCATGCTGATGCTAGTTCATGTTTTTGGCTGCTCCACTTCCAACCCAGCTCCCTGCACATATATGAGAGACCTGGAAGAAGCTCCTAGCTTTAACTTCAGATTGTCTCAGCCCTGGCCTTGTGATTATCTGCAGAGTGAAGCAATAGATGGTAGTGCTCTCTCTCTCTCTCTCTCTTTCTCTCTCTTTCTCTCTGTAAATCTGAGTTTCAAATAAATATTTTTAAAAGCAAGTCAGGCTGTGATAATAGATAAAGAACAAGAAATCTAGAATGGCAGTCATTAATGGAAAGTAAACATTGATCCTAAGGCAGGTACATTAGCTTGCTAAGTTTTCTAAATCTAGAGGGGGAAAAGTGATTTAAAAGGAAAACAGTGAGTTTTAGCATACCAATTACTAGCAAATGGAACAAAAAGGAGCTTCAGGAAGGCCAGGGAGAGAGAGACCTGGGAGCAAAGCAAACATTACCAGGAAACGTGGAAGCTGACTGCCTTTTCATAATGTGCTCCTACATATCCCAGCACTGCTTTTGTATCTGCTGATTTGTTTTCAGTTAGCCTAAGGCTTCTGTCTTTCCTTTTGGCACAGGATATGCTAGGAGATTTGTTTACTCCCATAGAGACACCAGAAGCTCAAAACAGAGGTTTTCTTAAGGGACTATTTGGTGGAAGTGGACAAACCTTTGACCGGGAAGAGCTCTGTGAGTAAAATCTTAATTATAAAAATGTGTCTCAAAATGGGGCCTGTATGTGTGTGTATGCCTTAATGTGATGTATAATCCCAAATATTAGACTAGACGCTTTTAGTTCTTTATAAAAATGTGCTTCTCTATCAAAAGTGAATAGGATGAGTCACTTAAGGAATAGTTTAACAAAAATTATTAATATAATTTATACAAATAATGAGCAAATTAATGTCCCATTTGTTAGTGCACACACCTGCATGAGATGGTGAGAGCAGTCAATCATTAAAGTATTTTTAAAATGTTTTCAAATCTGCCTGCTTTTAAATACTGCAAGGAAAGAGATCCTGTATTCAGAATACAAGTTTTGAAAGTGCCACAGAATAAATTACTTTTAAAAATCTATTGGTGATACTTTAATGAAGAATAATCAAAAAGTTTTAGTAGGAAAATATTGGGAAGGATCTTCAACCAGAAGGATATAGTTTTCAAGGGTGAGCATTTAGCTGCTGCTAAAGGGGTCTGTGTCCCATGTCAGAGTACTTGGATTTAATTCCTGGCTTGCACTCCCAAGTCCAAGTTCCCGTAAATGGGGATTCTGGGAGGCAGCAATGATTTCCCAGGTAATAAAATTCTTGTCTCCCACAGGGCGATTTGAATTGAGTTCCCTGCTCCCAATTTTGACAGTAGTGGCCTGGCCCTAGCCAGAGTTGTTGTATCCACTTTGGGATATGAACCAGCAGAATGGAGGCACTGTCTCTTTGTGTCTCCTCAACTAAAGATAGATATGAATATAACTTTTCAAGAATATGTCACCACCATGTGGTCTAGTAAAGAATACTCTTGCAAACTATGCATGCAAAACTAGACTACCACACAAAGCAATGTTATTTGGAAAAAAATGGAATTCAGTATTATAGTATTATAACATGGCTAAACTTCAGATCATGCTGAATCAGGAAATCAACCCAAATAAGGTCATATCTTACATGATCTTATGTATATGAAATGTCCAGAATAGACAAAATCGTAGAGGCTTGAGGATATATCAGTGGATCTTGGTATATATATTGATAGATAGATATAGATATAGATATATAGATATAGATATAATTTATATCTTTGTGAACCCCATTCTTTATTAGGTACAGAGAGAGACAGATGATCTGAGGCCTACAAATCTGAATTTTCCAGATGAACAGTAAAAATTAAAGTTAAGACCTAGGCAGAAACCTAAGGAAAAGCTCAGGTCTGAGTTCTGAATAGACACTAAAATGAGAGACTGTGTTGTTAGCCACATCATGAAATGGAAATATGCCATTGTGTATAGAACTCATTCATGCACAAGCAAGGCATCCGGTAACAATATATAGCTCATAGTTTCTCTTATAGGCATTTTTCTTGCTCAAATACTATTTTTTAAGATTTATTTACTTTTTTATTGGAAAGGCATATTTACAGACAGAAGGAGAGATAAACAGAAAGATGTTCCATCCACTGGTTCACTCCCCAAATGGCTGCAATGGGCAAGCTAAACCAATTGGAAGCCAGGAGCCTCCTCCAGGTCTCCCGCATGTGTACAGAGACCCAAGGCTTTGGACCATTCCTCTATTGTTTTCCCAGGCCATAAGCAGGAGCTGGATGGAAAGTGTAGCAGCTGGGACATGAACTGGCACCCATAGGGGATGCAGGTGTTGCAAGTCAAACATTTAACCAGTTGAGCTATTGCACTGGCCCACTAATATCTTCAAACACATCAATACCACAGGACCCCATATATATCTATTTCAAGAATTATGACTGCAGGCTTGAATGTGAGTTCTTTTTCTTGGTAATAAATATGACTACTTGAATTACTAACAAAATGTTTTGAATTGCTATGAATTCAATTCCCAGTTGGGGAAGCTTCTGCAGGAAGAGCATCACGTAGTCTTGCACAACACATTCCTGGACCAGGTGGAATAGAAGGGGTGAAGGGTGCTGCTGGAGGGGTGATGGGAGAGCTGACCCGGGCACGAATTGCACTGGATGAGAGAGGACAGAGGTTAGGAGAACTGGAAGAGAAAACTGCAGGCATGATGACAAGCGCAGAAGCCTTTTCCAAACACGCACATGAGGTAAGTCACCCAAGTAATTCAGGCATCTTATTCAGTAGTAACTTAATTGAAGTATTTCAGCCCTGCGTCAGAAAGTAGAAACAGAAATGCTACATGAGTGAGCCTGTGTGAGAACCAGGATAACCTGAATCTCTCACCACAGGTATTATATGCCCCCAATATTTCATTGATTAAAATTCTTTTTAATTTTTAAATTAAGTGCTGTAGAACAAAGATATTGCTTTACCTTATCAGATAATGAAGACCACTGTTCATTAGTTCCGATACTTGTTCTCTATTGTGCTCTAGCTGCTAGAAGGTGTTTACAGAGCTGATGGGGCTCCCCTTGAAGGCATGACGGACAGCAGAGGCCAGGATCCACATGCTCCCTTTTGCCATATTAGAACAATTTCCTGTCAGCTGAGACTTTACATTTTAATTGGGTATTTGTTTTCAAATTGCTGTCATATGCATTTTATTCTATAAAATATGTTAAGTTTGGAGATTTAGTAAATATGCATGATTAGCTGGGATTTCTCTAAATAGCACTGTTTATAGTTTTTTTTTTAGCATCTTATGATATTTATCTTCCTTGCAGTTAATGCTGAAATACAAGGATAAGAAATGGTACCAATTTTAACTGCGAAAAGAGCCGTGACTGCTTTGAGAAACCATTATTCAGGGAAACCAAATTTATTCCCAGCATCTCTAGTCAACCGCTAGAAGCCAGTTTCTTCTACAAAATGTTCCATTGCAACTCAACTGAAATTAACATAAAGGAAACTTATCAGAGACGCTGTACAACCCAACAGCTGGAACCCTGGTAAAACCCCAAAACAGGTGGAATTTGTCTTTTCCCATATGGAATGGAGCTGTCGTACTGGAATGTCCTTTGCTAAGGGTTTACATTTAGAAACCATGGCGAGTCCTTCTGATTTGAAAATTCCTGTACAAACAAAACCATTAATGCACTTAATGAAAAAAAATCTTTGCATGTAAATTAACATCTTAAAAGGAAAAGAAAAATAAGCATGTTGTGACAGAAGAAAAAAAAGATTTATGGTAAACTATTTTTTATAAATTGGGCCATATCCAACAATTTAAAAATATGCATTAGGAGATAGCAGTATATTTGAAGAATATTTTCCACACCCAAATGAAAGGAAAGCAAAACAAAACCCCAGAGTTGTTCTTCTCATCTGTAATTTAATTATACTAGGACATCATTGAGTCTTCAAGGCAAGAGTCTAATTAATATTCTTCTCTCTATATAGTATTTTTACATCATTCACAGGTCTCAATCATTTTTTGCCAGCATAGCTCTTTGCATTTCTGTCACCTTCAGTACAGGTTGCTCTTTTCAGTCACATACTGTACAAGGTTGGGTCACCTCAAAGCATTTTCTCAGCCTGGCTTGTACTCTATGCAGGAAAATTGACAATAGGTTTGGGAAAACTAGTCTAGCACAGCCATGTAGTTAGCTCTGGGGACCGAATTCATAAGAAGTGCATTCACATGCATCCCAATTTCAGTTTCTAAAGTGATATATTTTTAAAACTCCATTTGTGTCATTGCCTGCCAACTACACAGTATATTACTGTTCAAACCCAGTGGGCTCTACAATCCAAAGGTGCTCTTGCAGCCTGACGTTCACAGACCAAAGCGGTCATGATCTTCAGTGTGATTCAGTAAAACCTCAGTCAGTGCTTTGAGAGAAGAGATTCTTACTACAATTGTGATTAAAAAGGGCTTTCATTAGAAAACACTTCTTTGTTCAATACTATTATTGGAAATCTTTATAAAACACGATGGCATTTTTGCTATCTTAGCCTCATCATCATTACAAACAACAGAAATACATAGTGAAATGATATAAAATTAATGATGGTGTCACTAACTAGGTCAACTAATAATGTAAGTTCCAGGATTGTGTTACTAGATATCAAGCACCTGTTCCTTGTTTAAAAGTCTTTAAAAACCAGAATGCAGAATATCTTTAATTTGGTAAAAGGTATCTGTCATAGCTCCACAGAGAAGCACTAGAGGCAAAATGAAGCAAATACTGTTACTACCATTATTTATCATGATTCTGAAAATCCAGAATCACAGGAATGAATATATAAGTGCATTTCCATGGACCTACCCTTTACTATGTTGTTTCTTCAAAAAGTCATCTTTTTAAATTGTGTACTTACATTTTTTGATTTATTAAATCTTGCTGGGCTTCCATATATGTGAATTTTTAAGAATTCATCATGTTTCTGGAGTCCAGCTTATTTTAATAGCTGTTTGGTTTTTTTTAGATTTTTTTTTGTTTGAGGTACTGCTTCCTTTACAGTGTTCTCAGGGATTTTAACAAGGGCAAAGATGGTTGCAAGAGTCCGAAAATGTACCATAGGACAGCATTGTTTCAGAGTCCTTGGATTTTCCTGAGTTCTTAAAAAGGCCTCTTCACAAGCCTGGGTCCAGTAAACAGCTTGAGAGTGAGAGAAGCTGGCTTGGAAATGCAGACCTGACACCAGCATCAAACAATATAAAGAGTAGACTGAGGCCAGGAGTGGGAAAACACTGGCAATTAAGTTGCACTGCAGAGTTTGTACCATCAGTTTCAAATACCCAGTTTTCTGATTTTTCTGAAAAAAAAAAAAACATCTGCATTAAAAACCTTAAAGAGTGAAATATAAATTTATTCTAGGGATAATGAAATTCAGAACTAAGTAGTATTAAATTCAATGAAAAACTCTGACACTTGAGTATGATTAGATTTAGATTGTTATACAGAAGGGTTTTTCTCAACCATAACACAAATAACAGAAAATTCTTTACAGTGAAGCACTATCCTGGCACTGTAGGATTTTGAGACATCCTTATCTTCAGATGCCAGCAGGAGCCTGCTAATAAGTACAATAAAAAATGCTGCTGACCGTTACTAAAATTACTCCCAAAAGTCAATATTCTTTATCTTTCAGAGATATTGTGTGGATGTCATATATATCTTATAAAATTGTATAGCATACTTGCATAGTGTCTTGGCAAGTTAAGTTGTGATACCCAAAATGATAATATATGGTTCATGTGCAATAACATAATTTTTAGAGAAAGCATACATGAATCAATGAGCCATCACAGAATATTTTAAAGCACTCATAGAGAATATCAAAAAGAACCTGATAGTATTTCACAGAAGTGCTTAAAACGCTGGATTCAAAATGGGTCAAAACGTTTATAATTGACACATCATTGGGAAGTAAACAGGTGCTTCTGAAATGCTTGAAGAAAAGGAGAAAAGTTCTTTTAAATAGTGTAAACATCTGTCACAATTGTTCTGTAGACTCTTAATCTAAGGGTAAGCTCACCAACAACTCCTGATTAGTAGAGTCCAAATTAATGAGGTTTTACTGTATCAAAATTGGATTTTTAAAATTCAAAGAGATAGCAATAATAACACTCTACTGTGGTGTGACTTTCTTCTCTCATCTCTCTTCTGTTGCACTGACCTTAGCCTGTGCATGCACACCACCACCAGCTGCCACCACCTCATCACCATCATCATCTTAGAAATGGAATACTGTTGATCCATATTATCCTTTACATCTTTTCTTTACTACATTTCCTCTACCTTGGAACATAAGAAAAATATTCCCTAGTAACTTGCACAATGATAGGAACCATGACTCTGAGCCTCAGTTACCATTAAAATTGCATTATATCTGGCAGCAGAAGATAAGGCTTGCAAAGCACAGAATCAACAAGTTGATTTGTATCTCCCTATGACACTGTATAAAAACGTAAATCCTTTCTAGTGTTCCAGAGAAAATGGATTTTTCTTTCTTACCAGTGGGAAAGAGAAGCATTTGTTTCCCTGGTTCTGGAAATAACAAGAGTGCAATAATCCCTACCATGAAATCACCCACTGGCCCCAGGGTTTGGAGGGAGGCATGACTGGGTTAGCATTTATTTTATGCCCTCTGAAGCAGTGTTACTGACTTGGTTTTCTAGACCTAATGAGCCTCAGACTTACTACCCTAGTCACCATTACAGTCATTGACTGCAATGTCTTTGGTAAGTGATTCTTAAGCAAATAAATTAAAATTCAGGTCTATATTACTCAAAGCTTTTGAAGAAACTTATGGGATAAAATTTACTGTTGGAATCCCTTTTTTAGTGACCTACATACCCAGTTTTAAAGATACTATCTGTCCATAATCCATATTAAGGGATCACCATGACTTTAAGAGAAAAAGGAATAAGATTAGGTCTAGGATTGGTTGAAGATTAAGACAGGTTATTCAAGAAACCTGACTCTAAAATGTCAGACAGAAGGGGGAAATGAGTTTAGTAAAGCAAACAAGGATTCCTCTCTTTTGCCTAGGCTCTCTGGCACAACTCAGAAGGACATCTGTGTGATTTCAGCTAGCCTTGTCATTAAACTGACCACATTGGTTCAGAGAGGGCAATGCCCATAGGTGTCAGGACACTCCTATCAAGTCTTGCTCTTTGCATAGAACAAGCTTCTTCCTCTCTGCCTCTCTTACCTAGTTTTAGTTTTAGCTGGGTATTGTTGCACATTCACACAGCCCCAGGACCAGGAGTACTTGTTACATATTTAGATTGGACAATATCTCTGATACGTACCACTCAAAGAAGCATGCCAGCACAACAACAGATTTAGTGTTAGCAAATAACATTCTTAAATGGAAGAAATTCAAATAGGTTAAGATCTGACTTAGGGAAGAAAAAGGAACCAACTTAGTGCAAAGAAGTTGGGATGAGGAAGGATATGAGAGCCAGGGCGACATGGAGGAAACTTTGCTGAAGGTTCGGAAGCATAAATACATATGTACATAGAGTGATTCTCAATCTTGGTGTATGCTTGGCCAGGCAGAAGAATCACCTGGGGAGATGTAAAAATTCCCAGTTACATCAAAATCCCTCCCAGTGACTAAACACATACAAGTAAATTTGAAAACCTTAAAGTTGGCCCAAATGTCTAAAGTTGACAAATTTTTGCTTTGAGGCCACTTAAGGACAGTATGTTCATGCAACTTGGCTGTTGTCTCAGCTCAATTTCTGAGTGGTCTGAGAAGGCAAGGTAAGATACAGTGTGGACTGGGTTAGTGTTTATTCCGTGTCTTTCACAGGACAAAATATTTCTGCTCAGGCAGTGCCTATTAACTCTTAAGAACTCTTCATGATATTTTCCTATGTGATTTTGCCATGAATTACTCTAATTCAAACTTGTATGCTTTCCATTGTCTCACACATCTGATTCACTGGATCATTAATTGCAACAGCATAATCACACCAACTGGACAACTAATTCTCAATATTTAGACAGTGGGAATTTTCAAAAGTCATTTACTAAGTCAGGGACAAGTTGGTTGTTATTTTGCAGGTGGCATGGGTACTAGGTGTTCTGCTGCAGATTTCTTTTATTTGACTTGATCTTAGCAGAGAGGGATAACAACTCTCCTTTTTCATTACTATCTTAACGAAAAGCTTCCTGGGCCATTGAATTGAGTTTCTTATTTGATGGACAAATGTTTAAAGAGAAAGGAGAGCCTGTAAATTTGCTGTCACCGTCCAATGCCCTGAGAGCTGTTTACTGCTTCCACAGGAGAGAGTCCAGCCTGTCAGAGGCAGTGGCACCTAATGAGAAAACACCCAGTTATCTCTTCTCATACTGCCTCTCTTCTGGTATTGGCTCACTCTTCTCAACTGCAAAGCCAGAAAATGAACTAGGTGGTGGTTTTGGAAATTGTACACAGAATCAGAACCTCTAATAACATATAATTTTTAGTACTTAGCTATGTGATGTTTTCTCCTAGGAAATAAGAAACAGATGACATCATTGATGTATCTTTCTTTCATCTTCAGAATTTTTGCATCTTTTCAGAAAATGACAAATTACTATTTTTCTGTTGCACTCCGCAATTGTGACTATACTTAACAAAGTTCTTGTAGTATGTAGAGATACCAATAAAATTGTATATGTTTGTACATAGATGCTCTCTTATGTCATAATCTCATGTACTGATAGTAATTTTTGTCAACACTAAATATGGGCAGAGGTTGAGACCCTCGATCTCATAGTTCACTCTGAACTATGGTTTTGCAAAGTATAGTTTTTTTAAAGGGAAGGGGTGGGAGA